ACAATGGAGTACTATACAGCATTAAAAAGGAAGGAAAGCCTGTCATCTGTGACAACACAGATGGACCCAGAGGACACTATGTTAAGTGAAATAAGCCAGACACAGAAAGACGAATATGGCATGATCTCACTTATATGTGGACTCTCAACATGTAATTTCAGGCTGGGTATGGTGGTTCATGCCTGTAATCCCAGCAGTTTGGGAGGTGGAGCGGGGAGGATTGCTTGAGCTCAGGAGTTTGAGACCAGCCTGGGCAACATAGCACGGCCTCATTTCTACAAAAGCAAAAATAAATTAGCCGGACATGGTGGTGTGTGCCTGTAGTTCCAGCTACTAGGAAGGCTGAGGTGGAAGGATCACCTGAGCCCAGGAGGTCCAGCCTGGGTAACAAAGTAAGACCCTGACTCAGAAAAAAATGTAATTTCATAGAAATTGAGAGTAGAAACCTGGATACCAGAGGTTGGAGGAGAAAGGAAGGGATGGGGAAAGGGTAATCTTGAAACAAAGTTTCAGTTAAATTGGAGGAATAAGTTTTAGCAATCTATTCCACTGCATGATGGCCACAGTTAATAATAATGTCTATATATTTCAAAGTCACTGAAAGAAGAGATTTTTAACGTCTTCACCACATACAAAAATAAACTGGTATTGGTAATGGTGGCCCACGTCTGTAATTCCAGCACTTTGGGAGACTGAAGCAAGAGGATTGCCTGAGTCCAGGAGTTCAAGACCAACCTGGACAACTTGGTGAATAAATAAAAAAATTAGCCAGGTGTGGTGGCACTACTTGGAAGGCTGAGGTGGAAGGATCGCCTGAGCCCAGCAGGTCCAGGCTGCGGTGGCTGTGAGCGTGCCACTGCACTCCAGCTTGGGCGACAGAGTGAGACCCCAAATAATAAAAAATAAAAAAGTTGGTGAGGTGATGGATGTTAATTAGCAGGATTGAATCTTCCTACAATGTATCCACTGATCAAAACATTTCCCTGTACCCCATAAACATACAGAATTATCATCTGTCAATTAAAAAGGAATTAATAACAAAATCTTCTAGGCCAGATACCATGGTTCACGCCTGTAATCCCAATATTTTGGGAGGCTGAGGTGGGAGGATCGCTTGAGCCTAGAAGTTTGAGACCGGCCTGGGCAACATGGTAAGATCTCATCTCTACAAAAATGAAAACAAATCAGTAGAGCATGGTGGCACCTGTAGTTCCAGCTACTCAGAAGGCTGAGGCGGGAGGATTATTTGAGCCCAGGAGTTTGAGGCTACAGTGAGCTATGATCACGCCACTGAATTCTAGCCTGGGTGACAGAGTTAGACCCTGTCTCCAAAAAGAAAAGATCATCTAAATGAAATCTGATTTTCCCTAAGGCAGCAGAGTTATAACAGTAGCATTCGTTCATAATGGTTCAACTTTTTTTGCACATATTCTACATTTTACTTTTTATTTATTGCTTTTGAGAAATTCTTGTTTTTGAAAACAGAGATGAGGCCTATGCTTCCCAGTCTGTTCTCAAACCCCTGTTCTCCTGCAATCCTCTCACCTTGGCCTCCCGAATGCTGGGATTACAGGCATGAACAATTATGCCTGGTTTAATGCTTTTTTAAAAAAAAAAAACATTATTTACGTATTTATTTATTTTTAATTGATAAATACAAATTACACATATTTATAGTATACAACATGATGTTTTGATATATGTATATATGGTGGATTGGTTGAGTTAATTAATATATGTATTAGCACACATATCTTTTTTTTTGTGGTGAGAACACTGAAAATTTACTCTCCAAGTAATTTTCCTTTTTTCTGAGTTGAGTCTCACTCTGTCGCCCAGGCTGGAGTGCAGTGGCATGCTCACAATCACCACAGCCTTGATTTACTGGGTCCCAGCATCCCAAGTAGCTGGAACCACAGGCACACACCACCATGCCCAGCTAATTTTTGGATTTATCATGGAGAAGAGCTCTCACTAAGTTACCTAGGCTGGCTTTGAGTCCTTGGACTCAGGCAGTCTTCTTACCTCTGCCTCCCAGAGTGCTGGGATGACAGGTGTGAGCCACCATGCCCAGCCTTTTCAAGCAATTTTTAGTATACAATAGATTGTAACATGTAAACTACAGTCACCATGTTGTACAACAGATCTCTTGAATGTATTCCTCCTATTTAGATAAAATTTGGTATCTCTTGGCCAACATGCCTCGACTTTTAATGCAAATGACTCAAGTTTTATATTTCAGCAGTGAGTTCATAAAGTATAAATGAGCTCACTTTATAATGTGTTTTTGTTCTCTTTTTCTTTTTTTTGAGTCGGACTCTCACTCTGTTGCTCAGGCTGGAGTGCAGAGGCATGACCATGGCCTCCTGGGCTCAGGTGATCCTCCTGCTTCAGCCTCCTGAGTAGCTGAGAGTATAGGCACATGCCACCACATCTGGCTAATTTTTTAAATTTTTGCTGATCTTAAACTCCTTGGTTCAAGCAATCAATCCTCCTGCCTTGGCCTCCCAAAGTGCTAGGATTACAGGCGTGAGCCACTATGTCCAGCCTTTTTTTGTACTCATTTTTTTTTTCAGTGCCTGGCATTCAATAAATGTGGTACAAACCAAAAAAAGTTTGCCTGGTAACATATAACAAAACAGGTTTTTCTTTTTTTCTGAGACAGAGTCTCACTCTGCCCCCAGGCTGGAGTGCAATGGTTCAATCACAGCTCACTGCAGCCCAGACTTCCTGGGCTCAGGTGATCCTTCCGCCTTAGCCTCCCAAGTTGCTGAGACTAGGAACCTGCACTACCACACTTGGTTCATTAAAAAAAATTTTTTTTTGTAGAGATGAGGTCTTACTATATTGCCCAGGCTGGTCTCGAACTCCTGGCCTCAAGTGATTCTCCCACTTTGGTCTCCCAAAGTGCTGGGATTACAGGCATGAGACACGGCGTCAGGCCCAAAACAGATTCTTTAAAGACTGGAGGCCACTTCACATGTGGGACAGACACAACTGGTGAAATACACAAAACACTGAATGCTGCGATTCCTGACACTTGCTTAAAGGAGCTTAAACAGACGCACACTCCAGTGGAAACAGAATGAGCTCTTCACTACAAGGAAAACGGTGTTTTGGCTGGAAATTAAACATGCAAATGGAAAAGAGCTTTAAGGTATCATTACAAACCTACTTAGCCAGGAAAGGAAGCTAAGTGGGTAATACCCGGCGACTGGGGTGGGCATCCAGGGACGGACAGCGTTTGCCGGGTTTAGAAGTAGGTTGCGCGTTTTGAAGACTCAGAGGGGCTCTGTGAATAACGGGCTGAAAAGCTATTAGTATCTTTCGTCCTATAATTATCCCCAAGGAGACGCGAGGAGCCAGGAATGCACGCAGCAGGCTCCTCGCAAGAGAAACGCCAGGCCCCACAGCAGAGCCTGGCTACAGGCTCGAGTGGCCGCCCTCAGGGGGGACCCTCACGGTCACAGTGGAGATTGTGTCAAGTGCAGCAAAAAGATCGTAAACCAGGGCTGGGTAGAAACGCTGGACGAGGAGATCGTGTGCGCCTGCGGATCCGAAACACACACACACGCCGCCTTCCTGCCTTCCTCCCTTGGCCGCCCTTCTCCCGAACTGCCACTTGTTCGCCCTCCCTCCTTCTCTTCCTGTCTTCCCCCCTCCTCTCCGTCCTCCCCCATCCTCTCTCGCGCCTCCTCTTCCGTCCTTTTGTCCTCGATGCTGCGGCAACACAGCTCCCCAAGCTGCCTAAATTCCTTCTCCCTCAGCCCTAGTCCCGTTGTATTTCCTCTGCCTGGATGCTCTTCCACCCATGAAAAAACCTTTCCAAAGCACCCAGGGCATCCTTATGGCAGAAGGTCAGCAGCAACACAGTCTCAGCCAGCCAATCCACAGTGCGTACAGGGATGAGAGGAAAAGGAACCAGGGCTGGCTACCCACTCACACTCGGGCCCTTGTGGGGGCCTGGTCTGAGACGGCCTTGCACTCCGCTCTCTCTGCCAGCACCACCAGGGCCAACTCCCACCCACGCTGGGTTCTCAGCCTAAATGCCGCCTACTCTGGGAAGCCTTCCTTTGCGGGGCCCCACCCCTCCAGAGAGGGCCAAGCCCAGGGCATCCCTGCAGGGTCATTCCCGTGGCAGGTTCATTTGAGGACTTCTGCCTGTCTGTTTATTTATTTATTTATTTTTTATTTATTTTATTTTTTTGAGTTGGAGTCTCACTCTGTCGCCCAGACTGGAGTGCAGTGGCCGCTGCCGGCCACCGCA